GTGGAATATATATAATAGGTACTGGATTCAGTGTAATTAAGTTCTTAACACTGTATCTGATTAATATTATAAATGTGAATGTTCTGAATGATGAATGTATTTTTGTTAAAGGTCATCTTCAAAACGGTTGCATGACATTACATCATGAGCTCACTATACGTCCCCACCGATGGGCTCGGAGCGTACCCTAAGTTAAGGGTGATTAGGCCATAGTCAACCACGATGGCCAAGTGCGGGTTGGTTGACTTCATACATATCTTTTGAATTTCTTTTCAGATATGTGCAGGTTGCATCACGATGTTTTCCTTCATCGTAAGAACGTCGGAATCTCGTAAAAATATGACATAAATATAGAATATATTCTATTAATACATAAACATAAAAACCTTAATTTAAAAATAAAGTGTTCCCAAAATTACTTATACCTAATATGTTTTACATATATGTATTATATATAACAGTTGTATTTATTACAATACAAAGTGTGTCTCGAGTTATCTTACGGAGACCTTTACGACGAACAATTGAGGTGGAATAAGAAGCACTCGTTAATTTACTCATAAGCAGTAAAGATGCCAGATAAAGGAAATGAAAGGAGCCCAGGTAACCAAAAGCCGATTATAGAACCAACAAGGGTACGTTCGTAAACCTAATGGTAACAGATGTGATCGTTGAATCAATTTTGAATATATTACAAATAATTACTTAATAGTGTTATATTTAAAGTTTAATTCTTAATGACTAACTTAAAGTAAACAAAAAAATATAAAATAAACATTTTTAGATAACAATATTGCCTGAATTTATTTGTTTATGTGTCCAAAGATGCTTAAAAATGGTAGAGCCCGCTTTAACATCTTCGCACGAATTGGCCGGTTCGCCCGGTGCAGTGCCACGACCACATAGAAGACAGGCGTGATGTGGAAGCAATTCCGCGTTTCGTCTGATGAGTGTAGTACCGGAGGGATAATTTTAGTCCTCCTTTTCTTCCCACTCTTTTTTATAAGGAAAGGAAGAGGATTTTCCGGATGTGGGTTGCATGGGAAGGGAAAAAATTATCTTTTTATGCCTCCTCCCCTCCGTTGATTAAAGTAGGCAACGCATATGTAATTGCGTATGTCTATTGACATCGGTCGCTTCGTTGTTTCAGCGATTTCAGGTGGCCGCTCGCTCGTTTGCCACGTTATGATAAAATGCTCATAGATGGCTTTAGCCAAAAATGTTACCTAGATCACTTCCAGGTTAGCCAAATGTTCTTCGCCTTCAAGATTCCTTAGTTTCAGGTAGCTTGTTGAATATGTATAATTTTCCGTTAAAAATGTTTTTTGTGTGACTATTTTGCGGGTAATATTGCTACTTTAAATCACAAGCGAATATAATAAAAAATAATATTTATTTAACCACGGTTCCACGGAAAAAATAAGTTTGCTCAGGTGTAGAAGTTAAATGTAGTGTGACGGATACTATATATTTCTGTACGAATTTTGTAACAGCATTTTAGTTGGAGTTACGTTTTTCCATTGCATTTCTCTATCCGGCTGTCGGATGCCGCAGGCTAAACTGTGAATGTACGTTTTTAATTTTTTTGTTTTAATTGATTTGTCAATTCCACAAGTCCTGTTCGTAATTGATATTTGTGAAATATATTCTTTAAACGTATCTGTAACTAAATATATCTTTTTAAAATATAAACAATCGAATTATATTACTTAATTAAATTGTCATAGAATCGCAATTTCAATGAAAGATAATATTACATGTTTTATGGATTTTATAATATTTTAAATGTAAACTTATTGTTAATCCGATTAACACACGAATATATTTCTACTCTGAAATCTTACTTTTCTCCAATACACCATAAGGAATTGAAACTATTTCTTGAGAGTACCGTTCTTGATCTCGCTGGAAGCGGATCTGAGCGGTAATTTAAAGCTCTTCAGGACACGTCTTAAGCGAATCCCGATATAAAGTTTTGCTTTTCTATGAGGGAATCTACTATCGATACTGTAAAGAACAACAGTTTTAAATCACATTAAATTAAATATTAGTTTAATTAACTATATTTAGTAAAAGTTAGCCCCCCACACAACGTTCCACACTAGCTTTCGCCCGCGATTTCATCCGCGTAGAAAAAAACTAAATTAGTAGCCTTTGTTTCCTTCAGACTATGTTCTAAATCTATGCCAAATTTCACTGAGATCTGTTAAGCCGTACTGGGGATACCTTCTAACAAATATCTATCCTCTCTATCTCTATTCTCTCTCTATCTAAAATATTTATTTTTATACATTCGTAAAATTTTAATCTAAGTATAAATGTAGAAAGATGCAGAAGATTAGAGCATGAGTAAAGAATCAAAAGAAAATTGAATTTCCTGCAACATTGTTGAGACAAGTAGAATGATAGCTTACTATAAGTGAATTTGAAATTATACACGTAGCAAGCGCGAATGAAGATAAGCCATTTGAGCTCTCTGAACCGCAGTCTGCAGCAAAGTGCAACAACAATGTGGGAACGCGACCTACTCTACACGCTCTATGAAAACCGAATCTCAGAAGGTAATTCGTTAGTTAACTTTACCTGCGTATATTTAACTCGTATTTTCTGTTCAGAATTCTCGACTTGTTACGTGGATTTCAAGTTTTGTTGTTTAATTATGTGCCTCGATTTTATTATGTTTACAATAAGTAAGTAATAATTGGAATTAAATGTTTTACACCAAAGTGTAACCACACTAAGACAATTGAAATGTTTTTCACATACAAAAATGTACATTTACAAGGCTTGGATTAGGTCAGTTATACCATCAGCTCACTATATGTCCCCACAGAGGGGCTCGGAGACTACCTTAAGTTAGGGATGACTAAGCCATAGTCAACCACGCTGACACAGGGCTGGTTGGTAGACTTTACACATATCTTTTCATTTCTTCGCACCTATGTGCATGTAGCATCACGTTTTCCTTCACCGAACGTCGGATAAATGTACATATGTAAATAAAAACACATTGGTATACGGCGGGATTCGAACTCAGAGCAAGTCAAGTGCTTCGCCCCTGTGCCATCGACGCTTAGGTCAATTAGGTGTTATTTACTACCTTGAAATATTAATAAGTATGAAAAAGATAACAAACTTAAAAATTTATGTAATAAAACCGTTAAATTGCTTGAAAAGACAATTGCAATCACATCTACATTGCACGTTAAAGATACATTTGTTCAGGTGTAAGAGTTTAATGTACCGTGCGAGTGTTGGCATGCAGGTTCACTGGGAATTTCGACATATAGCATACAAGTATATCTTATTTAAAACGCGCTTTTGTGAAACATTCTTGGTAGCATCAAAGAATTTGTTTTGATTTTTTGGTATCTTTCAAGGTTTTGCGATATACAAAGAGTTATAGAGATTAGTGATATTTAGCTGCGAGTGATGGGTAAGATTGAAGGCATGAACGTAGGCAAAAATCGTGGCTACATAATATTAGGGAGTGAACGGGGATTACGTCAGCGGAGGAACTGTTTCGCCTTGCACTTGACAGAACCAAATATTCCAAGTTCGCGGCCAACCTTCAAGGCTGAAGAGGCACTAAAAGAAGATATTTAGTAGAGACCGATTCATCATTCCTTAATCAGAGACTGATTAAAATGCCATGATATTTATGTTCTTATTTTTGTTATTGATACGAAGACATAGTTTATCTATTTTTATGTTTTATCTTTTATGTATAAAATAACAAATTAAAGTTGCCGTTACACTCCGTTGCCATTTTCATGAAGCTTTAGTTTCCGTTAAGTCATGGATTTAAAGTTACACAGTTCTGTGAGTTCAACCATTACTTGATTCCACTCCAAAGAATACAAGCTGTCTCTGAAACATTTACGATGCTTCTTACTAAAATTAAAGCTCTCTTCTGCAGCTATGTTCCTTCAAGCAGCAACCTAAATACCTAAATATTGTAAAAATAAATAAAAACATTTCATCTTTAAATTATAGCTTGGACATTTTTAACAAGTCAATTTGTGAACTTTTCAATATAGATAAATTCTACACAGGTATTTATAAGTATAATATGTAATATGTTATTTAAACCAGCTGTTGCCCGCGACTTCGTCCGCACGGAATTAAAAAAAACATATTAAGTAACCTATGTCCTTTACACTATGACTATGTTCTATACGTTTGCGAAATTTTTATCTAGATCCCTTCAAACAAAGATCCATCCGTCCATCTATCCATTCATCCAAACATTCGCATTTATAATATTAGTATATTACACAAGTATTTATAAGTATAACATAGATATAGATTAATTAGGCATTCGACATCTTCAGTTCAAGTGGTACTTTATTATAAATTTTTATACACATAAATACACAACTTTTAGTATATATTATTTAGTAAGTCTAAGATTGTCTTGCACTACTTATCTTAAAGGGTCATGCCGGTTACGTACATATCTACATACATATTTCATATATATAAAGTCTATCTTTTTGATGTATTGTAATCAATCCGCTCTACGTTGATAATCTAACACCAGTCATGCGTCTTAACTTAATAATAACATCATTAATCATATTAACACATTGAGCCATAACTCCTGGCGCGTATTGTGCGGAAAGTGATTTGTGAGAGTGCTCTATACAAGACTAAATTTGATAATATAATTCAAAAGCACGATAGCCTTGAAATAAGAGTAGGTTAGTCGGTCTACATTGAGACATTAATTTCGCTTTTGTAATTTACCTTTGATATTATTTGAAATAATACTAATTAGTGGCAATTTCAAGGTCGTGTCATGTATACACGTTTCGTTACATGAAAGAGAAGAAAGATATAACGTAGAGATAAGAGAAAAGAGAGCAACCGATTAAAACATTACTGTCAGCGCGAACACCCTTATTCATTTGTTGTAAATTATTATTCATACTCGTATATTACTTATTCTATCTTGCCTGTTCGATGTTTTATATTTAAATGATTGTCTATTGTTTCAGGTTGTTCTTGTATCCGATTTACATCGACGTATGGCAAGGAGCGAGGCACATTCAGTAGCCCCGACTACCCGCGACCGTACCCTGCTCATATCAACTGTTTACTTTACACCTTCATTGCTGGTCCACATCAGATCGTCGAACTCGTGTTCACGGACTTCGACATTTATAAGGAACATCTTGAGTGAGTAGCCCAGTTATTATATTATATTGCTTTATTACTTTTATATGTTTTTAATTTAATAACATATGAATAGAGAATACGAAGAAGACATCATCACTTCAATACGAGTTCATGGGTCTATGTAGTGTTAGGAAAAAAAACTCCGACAATGTGCCGGTGTATCAGCGCAACACTAGCCTTACTAAAATGTCGACGTTTATGTCCCCTCACTAAGCAATCTGACACTTGACTTGGTAACGAAAGCGCGACATTCGCGCCAAAGGATTCTAACTAATAATGTCTCAAAGTAGATATTTATAGATACACCGTTTATACTAAATAATAATTTGATAGTTTTAGAACGTAACCTATTTGTAATTTAAATGTTTATAATTGTTTAAAATAACATTTTGGATTAAACGCTTTAGTAATTCTATGGGCGAGGAGCGTTAAAATGTGAAATTTTATCTTTATAGCCCGAAGCTGAGAAGTTTAATTCCCGACAATTGCTTATCACTGTGGAAACTTTCATTCTGTAGAAGTCCGTGGACGGTTCATTTCTGAGGGACTTTAGTTGGCTAGTTTAAATAGTAACTGCAATTTAAACGGTTACTTGCTTCACTTAATTCGGAACTCATTAAACTTTACTATGGAATAAATTTGACATTGTTATCCACAAGTTTTAATAATTTCACTGCAATTGCAATTTTTCTTATGATAGTGGACTCGCCAGGCGAGTCGGTGGTACTGAATGTGTTAAAATGTTAATAATTGATGGTTTTAACTTAAATGCTTCAACTCTTACTTAATGAGTGTTAAGTTAAATGATGAAAAGTCAGTTAAGTATTAGGATATAATTGAAACAATTCGTATTTAGGTTTTTAGATTAATTTATTTAAATATTAGCTCTTACGTTTACTTTGATGTTGTTGACAAAATTACAGTATATAAATAATATTTATGTATGTCGACTTAATAACACTGATATCTGATCAGACTTTTTTTTTTACTTAAGCATAGAACATCTTGTGGATTCGTTGTGTTTATTAAAATGCAAAACTATCATTTTGACTTTCAATCTACTTCTTTGCTTTTCTTAAGCCGCTTAACTGACTACAAAATTGTACATAGTCAATCATTGTTTTGCCACCTTTATCTATAGTCGGTGCTTCATCTAATGCATAATCAGTTTCTTTCTCAGTAAAACGATCACCCCATGTCATTAGGTCATGACGAATCCTGAAATAATATATAAATAATTATTCTTCTTACTAATATTATCAATTTGGTTTTTATATACCTATAACTATGTAGATGTTTGTTAGAATGTATCTGTAGAATGGCTTGTCGAATCTCGATGAAAGTGACCATAGATTTAGTACATAGTCTGGAAGACATTGTCTACTAATTAACTGTTATTATTTAAACGCGGAGGGGCGCAATCGCGGGCGACAACTAGTAATATATATGCATACGTTTTTAGATTCATATTGCATGGTTTACCTCGCAGTAGCGTTCGATCAAAATTCACTATGATTATAAGAAGAAATGTAATATTACATTTTTAAATTAAAAAAAAAGCTTAACAAAATTAAATTGAAATACTAAGTTACTTTATCATAAACAACTTAGCTTTAGGAATGTAACATTTATCACGTAACGTAACTTTGAAGGTCATTGTACTCCAGGGATTAGGTTAGTCAGGTGGTTCTTAAACGAGTACCTGATGTTGAGTTGTTGCTTAATACTTACGTGCCTACCAACCATAACTTTATAACTAAGCGAAACTTGAAAAGCCAACGAATCTACTTATAAATTTACTTAAAAACTCACAACTTTTTTATTTGTGTTAAGCTATATTTCAAAATGTAAACTTTAATCCAGGAAATACAGACTAAAAATTAAGACTATTTGAGATATTTGAATAAATGTAATATTATTTGCAAAGTTTAAAACCCTCTAGCGGCCAAATGAAGGAACTTTTGATAGAGGTAAGTCGGGTCAAATCGTCATATGGTCGAATACCATGGAATCTTTGGTACTTCATTGTACTCGTATATCTGGACACCCTGTATAAAACGATAGTTCTGATATCGTACCAGTATCTATAGTTAGTAGAGTTAATAATGTCGTTCGTATTATAAATTACATTTAGCTTAAATACCTTTCCTCGGATATATAACCGGAATTCTCATTGTCCCAACGTGACAGTGCAGCCTTCAGTGTTTCTTCAGAATCAAGTTCTAGCGTCTTATATCCCAGAAGGTTCACGAAGGCGTCGAAATCTAAAGGTTGAGTAGCCTTAAAAGAAACAAAATATTAATTTTGTAATATTTAAATATCTAAATGTAAATAATAAAAGCTGGATAGATTTAAATTATAAGTAGAAGTTGCTATATAAATTCAAAACATCACCACGGCAGTCCAAATGCGTTTATTATGTTGGTAAAATCTAATAACAAACAATTTAACTACTACTTCTCGTTGTTAACTCGTCGATTTCTCGCGTGATTTCCTCTTTTCTCCTATATTTTTAATTTAAAAGGCAAAGGTCTTAGCTGACAGTATGCCACCTTTTTAGTGAAATGTAAACTTCTTGTCTACCAAAGAGATGGAAAACATATTTCTTTACTCAACAGTTGATTTCTCTTGAACAGTTTCTTAAATTTATTTAACAATTACCTCTGAGAGCATATTTCGTACAAGCTGTTCATCGACCGTATCGCCCAAACTGACCAGAGTCCCGCGTAAGTCGTTATCGTCAATATACCCATCGCCATTCAGGTCAAATAAAAGAAAAGCCTGAAAATAAATTGAACACAAAAAGTATCTCTTATTATTTTTACATATAGCATCCCTTCTGATGCTCTGGAAGTTGGTTGTTATGTTCATCAAGTCATTATTCAAAATTTTTAATTTTTAATTTTGATAAGATTTTTATTGACCGTATCTTCTTCAGGTCAAGGAAAACTTCGTGTCGCAACCTGCACATATATGTCAAGAGATTCAAAGATATGTGTAAAGTCAACCAATCCACACTGGGCTAGCGTAGTTGACTATGGCCTATTCGTCCTTGCTCGCACTTAGGGTAGGTGTACAATGGGGAAGTAAACTGAGCTGATGATGATGGTTACCTCCTTTAGTTCAAATATTTTGTTTTCATCCAATTCAGCCATAACATTAGCTGGAATGCACAGAGCTTCTCTAGCTCTGGATGCAGACCGGGAGCGAGGTGGAGGAGGCACAAGCAATTCTGATTCGTTTGAAATTGTTGAATTGGTGCTGTAAATAATGAACGTTATTAATAAGCATACACGTATTCATGGTACGCGGTATCTAGCTGTACATGTAGAACAAGTTTGGAGTAAGTTTTTTATATGTAATAATTATTATATTTATCATATAATTTGAAACTAAAAAAAGTACTTTTAACAGTAGCTGTCGGCTGCGACTCCGTCCGTATGGTATTAAAAAAAAAAACTTTGAAGTAGCATATGTGTTCTTCCAGACTCTATGTGCTACATCTGTTACAAATATCATCAAGATCTGTTGAACCGTTCTGGAGATACCTACTAACTAACATCCATCCATCAATTCATACATCCTAACATCGCATTAATAATATTAGGAAGACTAGAAATAAAATTATTTAACACTCTTTGTCATAACTCGATTTACTTCAAAGTTCATTGAATTCAAAATAAAACCTTTGAACTACTTAATAAGAAAAATCATGAAAAACTTACTTTGCGGAAGATACAGATTGAAGAAGGTTCTCTTTGAACTTCTTTATTTCATCTTGAGTGGATTCTCTTCTCTAAAATGAAGCCATTAAATGAACAGACACTTTTGAATACAATACAACAATTCCAAATATTCACGATTCATAAACCTTACCGTAGTATTCGGAGAAAGTTCATTTTCGTTTTCCATATTTTTTTCAAGCTGTAAATTTGCTTAAAGAACACTTCCAAGATTTAATTAACGTCTGGATTTCGTAAAGCAAGAGTCGTTACTAAACAAAATTTACATCATTAAACTAAAATTGCATTTTGCTCGGGCGAAGATTATCATTTAATACGCTTGGTTGCACGAAGATTTCAAGATTATACGCAATGTTTTCCGTCTCTAAATTAAATTAAATTTTCGCATGTAATTTCCACAGATTTTCCAACGTATATGTCACATATATCTTATTTTCATGTTTTCTTTTACTATATTTACAATTCGTTTACGTTTGCGAGGTCACCGATGTCTGAAATTGTATTCGTTATGAAAAGTAATATATTACTGCTGAAGTAGGCACATTAGGAAAACAAATAAAGTTAACAAACATGTTTTGTTGTTTTCATCAAGAAGACATTGTAATATAAGACTTCAAACAAATATTTATCTACATCAAATTATAATGGTAAGAGATGTTTATGTAGATAAAGCAAAAACAAGTTCGTTTGCTTTATTGCTTCTTTTATTTTCAAGGAAAACGAAAGAGATGACAATATGTTATTAAGTGTTTCTAGAATGGAAACCCACAGAGTTCCAATTTGGGACGTTAGTGTGAAAGCTAATTTGAGTATTAATAAGGTCCCGTGTCAAGGGAGCGGCTAATCATAACATTACGTCACGCTGCCAGATGCGCGTATTAAATTAATTTATTGCTCCGCTGAACTGACGGAACATTACTCAACTTGATCCAAAACAAATATTCCCTTAAGGTAACATTTATAATGGTTTAATTTCGCATCGAAGTTTATACTCTTACAACTTTATTTTTCAATGTACATAACTTTTTTTAATACTGATTTACTTGACTTAAGGTGTTTATGTCCCCGTAGTGGGGCAGAGGGAGTCCACAGTGCGCCGACATTTCGCTCTATCTTGGGCTCTGCGTTTGATCTCGGGCCATATCATACGTTTTGTAATACGCACCATTTTAATTCATGTTTTCGTATACACAATTGTGGTCACAGTGAGTGTAGTTTGTCGACTGTAAAAAGTAAGATTTAGTTCAGACTAGTAGTGGTTGCCGAATCAAACTGATACGGTTATCTTTTATATTTTCCACACTACTGCGATCGACCCGTGATCATGGCGCATGCAACTGTCCCGATATATCAGTAGCTCAAACAGTTTAATCGTGGTAAGAATCCCGTTTACGAATAGTATAATATCTTTAGCATGATTTAAACTTCCCCGTTTCTGTGTCGTCCTATTAGAATATATTGTTATTAATTTCTCCTAAATTTGCATTTACATGCTTATAAGATATTACTTGAACAATGGTCGTATTCAACCTATTTTAGCCCTCATTAATATCTTACCATTCTTGACTAATTAAATACGGGTTCATAACCAACAAAAGACAGAGTTTGTATTGTCTTTCAATTATTATTATAAATAATCTTAGACATTTTGAGGTTAGGATATTATTTCTCTATTATTATACCGTTATTACGTGAGGGTTAAAGAAACATTATGTTAGTTTTTGATTTTTATTCGCTAACTCGTTTCATATATTTCCAACGTTGAAACGGATTCTTTATTTGTAGCAATACGAAATGTTATCTATTTTATCTTGTATTTACAATTCTCGTGCTTCTATGCTTGTTTCTATACTCCACCGAAACATCTTGACAGATTTTTTTAAAATTATATGTGCATTATCAGACCTACTGAGAATCGACTATTATCTACTTTTTAAACCCGTGCAGACGGAGTCACGGACGACGGCTAGTACCCAGGTGGTAGTATAAATTAATCATGATATTAAATAAAATATTAAAAGTGGCAGAGCCCGCTTTAACATCTTCGCATGAATCGGCCCGACTCGCCCGGTGAAATAACACGGCCACACAGAAGACAGGCGTGAAGTGGAAGCAATTCCGCGTTTCGTCTGATGAGTGTGCGTCCCGGAGGCCTAATTTAGTCCTCTTGCCCTTCCCGCCCCTTTTTCTTATAAGAAAAGGATGGGAAGTGAAAGTGGATTTCCCGGATGAGAGGATGCATGGGAAGGGAAAATATTTTTTTTCTGTGCATCCTCTACTCCGTCCATTTAAGGTAGGCAACGCATATGCAATTGCGTATGTCAAGGGCAACGGTCACTTCGCTATTTCAGCGATTTCAGGTGGCCGCTCGCTCGTTTGCCACTTTATTATACTAAAAAAACGATCACCAAATTGTCAACCATGTTATTAACTCCATTTCATTTTCATTACCACATTAACATAAATTAGGTGTGCGTGAAAGCATTCTATTTATTTGGTACAATCATTCGGCGATCGGAATCGTTACAGCTTTCAATTATCGATACTAATTTTGAGTGTTCGATGTTGAAAGGGTTCGATGTTGTTTAAGTTAATTGCATTACGAGATCACCTGGGGCGATGTTTCGTTTCAGTTGCTATCAAATTTCTGGCCCTTAATTGATATTGTTATGAAACTTCGCTAATGTATTCTTGGGAGGGAAACCGAACAGTTTCGGGGTGTTTTTATAAGATAATAAACAAATTAAATATAAAGAAGTTAAAATTTTATGGGGTATTTTTATAGGATAGTAATTATGAGTTCTGTCAATTATATACTTATGTATTTAGTGTTTCAAATACATATATAGAGTTTGCAGTATATAGATGTAATTTCAAATTTTGAAATAGAAATGTGTCTTAATTAGTTTATTACATGTAAACGTGACCCTTTGCCAAGCGAAAGCTAATTAAAACGAACGTCACCGGAGCAGATGTGCGCATTAGATAAATTTATAGCTCGCTTACAGAATTAATCATCGTACGTCCAAAATGTCCTCGAAAAATAACGCGAATCGTTAACTCTGTGCTCCAACAGCTGGTTGATCTGAATATGTGATGCGTTTTTATCTATACTTATATTTTGTTTTTTTTTTTGCTATTCATATAAAAATATTTACGCGTTTAAAGAGAAAAAAAAATCTTAATCTCTAATAGTACTTATACACACAAAGTAATATTTCAATCTTATCTTAATCTATCTAGATTAATCTCAAGATGCTATTAAATTTCAACATCCATATACTTGAAAACTTACCGACCTTTTAATAAGATTTCAAAGTTGACTTTGTCAAAATGCTCAATCCCATCGCACTGATTCATCTTTCTAATCAAAATGTTATCTCGTTCCAGTATATATATTTCGTAAAGTAATTTTGTCTGTCCTCGTCATATTAGTTTGTGTATTACGAAACCGCATTTTTATCTTAATAGTAATTTTATTCATATTCTTTTCTATTTATTATTCCACCAAACTGTCATCTCATGATATTGTTACTCCTCTATTAATAAAAACAACGATCACAAATGTTTAGGATAGGTCCAACTACTAAATTTAGATTCAAACAAGCTGTCGCAGGCGACTCCGTCCGCGCAGAGTTAAAAACAAACTTATTAAATAGCATATGTGTTCTTCCAGACTATGTTTTACATCCACGGCAAATTTCAGCGAGATTTATGCAGTCGTTCCGGAGATGCCTTCCAAGAAACATCCATCCATCTAAACATTGGCATTTATAATATACAGTAAGATGTCATATATTCTAAAACTAAAGAAAACTTAAAACTAAGTAAATCGTGGTATAATTACAAGCTAAATTGAAGTCGCTTTGATCCATTTAATGAATAAAGTGGGGCTTTTACTGGTGGTTCATATCAATTTCGTGCATAAGCGCTCCAGATTTAGGCTGGAATATGCTTGCTAATATTTACTTTACATAAAGGATGTAGTTGCGATATGGTTAAAACATTTTCAACGCACGGTTTATTCAAGTGATTACATTGAGTTAACACTCCAATAGATTCTGAAATCAGATACAATAAAGGTACTTATCGATGTTAACATTTCATCGACCTTGGTTGCTAACTACGTATTATTTACAACAATCTATTCATCTAACAAGGCGGCAAATGTTGTTTAGCATGCCTCTTATTAAGTATCTTTTTTTTATAACAGAGGGGGCAAAAGAGCAACAGGAACACCGAGGTGTTCAATGACGCCCATCAGCAATTCCAAAGGAACCGCAGATGCGTTGCCGGCCTTTGAGAAAATGTATCTGTTAAAATGGAAGAATTAGAAGTCACAGTGCGATTGTGTGTCGTGCCGTGTTGTGGAACGGTCTGTCCTTGTCGGTATTTCCAAACCAATACGACTTGGGGACCTTCAAGAATCGAATATACCATTTCCTTAAAGGCCGGCAACGCATCTGCAGTTCCTCTGGAGTTGCAGATGTCCATGGGTGTCGTTGATCACCTCGGTGTTCCCGCCGCTCGTTTGCCCCCTTCTCTTTTAAAAAAAAATCAGTAACCAATGCTATTGTCATGTTATTGAGTGCTTTAGTATTATTACTTGATACCTAATTAATAATTATGTCATAACGTTAAGTATGAAAACGGAACAAATATTTTTTTATTTAGTTACATTGAAAGGTTAATTTCTTTGTGTTGTAGCCATCTAAATTATGGGTGAATATAAATTAATTAGCAATAAAAAATCTCTATAAAAATACTTAATACATTTGAAACAAGCCACAAATCTAGCGTGCGCCATAGAAAAAGTTTACCAGATCATTTAAGAGACGCAATCTGAGCGAGCTTCAGAATTTATTCGATTGTAGTCCGTAAAATTCGTCCAATCCGTGTTTCCAATTGAATTGTGATTGGTTCTGGAATATTTGAAAACCCACCAAATGTTAAGTAATTACAATATTGGTTAACCGCCGCTTCGCGATTACGTTTGTGATGTTAATATCGAAAATGCTTTGGTAAATTCCTTTGATCTGTATTAAGTAATCTATAAATGACAAAAGCATTATCTAAACCTTTATTTTAATTCATTGATATAACCGTCTAGATACAAGCCAAAAATGACATTAATTTCTAATGCGAATGTTAACATGGATGGACAGATCTCTAGAACGACGAAACAGAACACAGTCTGGAAAAACACATATGATCGTGAAATGTGTACGATTCCGTGTGCGGTGTGCGTGTGTGTGGAGTAGCGCATGAGATTGTTTTCACTTTTTTTTTTAATTCAGAAGTCGCGGCTAACTATCAAGTAACAAAAAATGCATGTTATTCATTTATAAGTATTGTATTTCTTAAATTAAGATAAATACAAAATGATAGAAAGCTTTTGTTTGTGTTTTCGTTGAATCTTATTACATATTAATTATATTACGATCACAAAGCAAAAATACGTCTTAAATAAAA